CGTTCAGCCTTTTTTTTTCTATCGTTCAGCCTTTTTTTTTCTATCGTCCAATCAGATGTGGCCGTCCAGACACGCCCATTTTTCTATCGTCCAATCAGATCCGGCCGGCCAGAAACGCCTATTTTCCTATCGTCCAATCAGATATGAGCGCCCAGATACGCCCACTTTCCTATAGTCCAATCAGATATGAGCGCCCAGATACGCCTTCCGAATTTGCCTGCAGAGACCCCTTCTTGGCTTGGTCCAGCTCCTCCGGGGGAATCCCGAGGCGTTCCCAGGCCAGAGAAACATAGTTCCTCCAGCGTGTCCTGGGTCTCCTCCTGCCATGGTTTATAAAATCTAAAGTCCATTTTCTCTGTCTGCCTTTAAAAGTTACTCTTTCAAAAGAGACAAATAAGACAAATGATTATCTTAAAGAGAGATTACTTAAAACACACATTTTCATAAACAAACACTCGGGTCTGAAAATAAAACAGAAAATGACATTTTGGGATTAATAGCAGGTGATGTTTCTCCAAAAGGTGTCGCTGTCCATCCCCTGAAAGTAAATGTCTTTAAACAAAGGGTTCTTTAAAATGTGTTCTCTTCATGGGACCCCATCCTGGGAGTAATGCTCCTTTTGACTGAGGTGAAGTCTCAGCAGATGTTTCAACTTGGAGGTCAGTTGAACCAAAACTCATTCAACGATTTGTCCGTTTCATGGAAATGAGTTCATGTTGGCAGTGAAGTTAACACAGTGACAGTTTTTATTACACTTCCATTAGTGTCATCTGAGAAGTTAGTGCTGAGCTGGACACCTGTCAACCAAAGTCTGTTTGTTCCCAAGGGAACAGACGCATCTTCTCTTAAACTGTTTCAACACAAAACACATGAAGGACGTTCGTTTGAGATGAGGTGAACTCAGGGGGGGGGGGGGGCACTTTACTGAGGGTGCTATGAAGGATTTGTTTGTTCTTTCAGTTCTCAAGGTCAAGGTGTCTTTACTGTCATTCTCATCACATGTGGTACATGAGGCGGAACAAAACTGTACACAGGGTCCCAGTTCCATCCAACAAAAATACAAAATGTGAATAAAACCAGTAATGAGATCTAAGACATGAACCAAGAACACACTAATCACTGCTAGTACGGAACAATGCACCAAAAAACAGCAGCACGAACATGAGTCTGTGTGAGCAGACGAGGACGAATGACCACAGCAACATGAAATAAATCAGCAGCATGAGATCAGCAGCATGGATAATGAGCAGCACACTTCAACAATCAAGTGGTTTTTCACAGTGATGATCCTGACCAGGGTCATGGGTCCAACAGCCTCAGGGCAGAAACTTGTAGCAATAACGAAGGAGAGATGGAGGAAGAAGAGCGACACCTTCTCCATCTCTCCTCCACTACGTTTGATTGATTGATGGTTCATTGATTAAAGTGGAGCACCAGCTGATCAGTTACTGATCAACAACTACTTCATTCATATTTTAATGATCAGAACCAGTCACTGAAGTAGAATCTGTTCTTTACAGGGAGTTCTAGACCAGAACAATATTCATCTGAATGAAGAGATCAAAGTTGTCTTTGAAGTTTTATCACAACAATAATCAAAGTAAAAATCAACAACAATAATAAACAAACAAACAATAATAATGAATCAATCAAGACTTAATTCTCTTATCTGAGGCTAAATTGACTCTTTGCACAGGAATTATTTCAGTTTGAGACGCGCATGAATTTAGACAAAGTAAACTATTTTCATAAATAGTTTACTTTGGATTTTGGTTGAAAGAAGTTCTTGAATGTTCAGATGAAATCATTTATTATGACTGCAAGCAGGAAATGATTAATCAAGTTGTATCAGCTGAGAATCAAAACCAGAGACCTGATGGGACCAGTTTCTGCTCCTTACTGGGTCAGTGTTGAGGCGTCACTCGTCTTTCTGGGGTTGTGCTGGATCAGACCAGGATGGACCAGGAGGACTCACTGGGAGACGAACGTGCTTCAGGTGAAATCTGGCTCCTCCTTTTACAAAATGTCGACGAGCAAAACGAAACAGGCCTCTGTCCCCACGCTGCGCTCCAGCCACGAACACTGATGGAGCCAGACGTTCTTCAGACTTCTCTGTTGCTCTCCAAAGAGACGTGTTTGGAAGGAAGTGGTCGTCTCGGTCCGTTCCGAGGACCCGTTTCTGCTTGGATCCTCCAGCTGTGCAGCGTTAGCAGCGTTCTCCACACAGGTGGAAGGACGGCAGCTCGACCCTTCTTCAAATTATTCTTGATCTGTTGCTTCAGTCTGATTCCAAAGATCTTCTTCCTGATTCCGTTCCAGACAAGAAGTGAAACAGAAAACGATCCATTTTTACTTTTCGTGCACTTTTCAAATGTTTACTGAACTTTCAGTAACTTGAATTTTCACTTCTGGTTCATTTCCTGTTCAAAGATTGGATTTTTTTTAAACTTAATATAATCGATTGATTTTTTTTTAATTAGTTGTGTTTTGCGAGGAAAAGATCACAACAAGCACATATTTAAATAATATTAACTTTGATGACAAAGAAAATAATCTGATATTTTCTTGGGGGTGCTATGACTTTTCCAGGCGGAGCTATAGCACCCCGAGCTCCCCCCTGGAGCCGCCTATGGGCTCAGTGATACCCTTGTCCTCTGAAAATAGTAAGAGCTGGTTGTAGACGAGCTTCTCTAACGTTTTAGAAATAAATGGAAGATTAGAGACGGGCCTGAACTTGGAGCAGAGGGAGGGGCCTGTTTGTTCCAGTACAGGACGTACAAATGCACGTTTCAAGCCTCAGGTACCGTACCAGAGCAAAGACTGCTATAAATAATCTGAAGTACACCTGGTCCAATAGTAGCACGTCCTTAAACAAACCAAGGGCGATAGAATCAAAGACCAGCGGTGTCCTCCAGAAAAGAGAAGGAGCAAACTGATCAGAGAGGAGTCGTGTGAAGGAACAGAAGCTCTGCTTTAAACACCCTGATGCATGTTCAGTCATCTCTGCTTTAAGTCAGAGTCAGAGTTTCTTTACTGTCATTCACCTCATGTGGTACATGTGGTGGAACGAAACTATGTCCACAGGGTCCCAGTTACATCCAACAATAAAATGTATAAGAAAAACAGTAATAACATCTAAGATATGAACTAAGAAAAACATCAACTAAATATACACTAAGCACTCATAACATAAAACATTGAACATCAGCACAAACATGAACATGAGTCTGTGAGCAGATGTGCACGCATGAACACATCAACATTGAAACAGATCAGCAGCAACATGAAACAGATCAGCAGCAACATGA